GTTACAGAATATTGGGCAGGCAAGCAAAACTATCATGTGCATCCTGTTTACAAAACTAAATATTCATCTTCTCCTTGGAAGCGCCTCCCTGAATTTCCTGAACTTTCCTGGATATTCACTGACTGTTACTCAAATCCAAGCAAATGTGACTGCACAAGTTCCGTAATAGATCTCACTTTCCAAGAGACGCAAAGCGGTTTTACGAGAAGATATGCTACTCGCATGCCCTCCCATCAGTAGTATCACCGTTACACCGATGTAATCCACGTTAAAAAACATGATATTATGCAGATACCCTCCACTAACTAAGGGCACGCATACTGTGTAGTGCATATTTCCTGAGCGACAAAATAAACGGGGCAAATATCACAACCGTAAAGATCACTTAATCCTAACAAATGAGTTCTTTTATCATCTGGACGAATCAGTTAAGACAGAAATTTCAGGAGCAGCTCTATGCGCTTTTGACTGCTGAATAGCTCAGTGCACCTGAAATAATTGTGGGAGTTTTGTCGGATCACTGTAGCCAGGTAAGTTCTTCAACGATGAAATTCATCATTTTATATGGTCCCGTTTTTGAAAAAGCAACTCGGACACCACGTAAGTTTCGTTTTCTTCTCATTCCATTCTAATGTCATTGAGTCCTAGGTCAGGAAATGACCATCATACGCCAGCTTGTCCTTGAGCAAAGATAAATACCATTTATGTGCTGCTGTGTGCACGGTGACTACTTCCAGGGATTGCGCACTTATCTGCCTCCATTGAGCACTTGGGTGTGATTTTCTGCCTCATTTGTGTTGTCTCCTACGGGGCCCAGAGGTGTCTCAAATCGGTTCATACAAATTTTGAGTGTGTTAAATATCAACGCTATGTATTGTATTGAAGTTTCCCCCTCGATAGGAACATCGATAAGTCGGTCAAGCATTATCAATTCAGAAGACTGCTTAAGAGGGTGGGTTAACTGATATATCTCTGTTGAATCTGGGTTGAGAAACAATGAAGTCAGGGGGCTATGGTATTCGCTCCTTCAGGACGTTGCAACCAAAGTGATGAAAAGCAATAGCATGCAAGTTATAAACGCTTCCGGGAGGTATTGAATCACGTAATACATCGATTATCCCCAACAAACAAACAAATGCAGACCCTGAGTTGTGTCCATAGTCTCGTAGATCCAAGCCCAGGACCTCAAAACAACGATGTGCGCACTACCACCGAAATCAAAACGCGGACGGACACTTCCAGTGAGAACTCTGTCAGTATTGAAATTTAACGCATCACTTGATGCAGTCTTCTGAGTTACTGTACAACAGACTCTATGCGGCACGTGCCCAGGTTACAAAAGCATATGTGGATACGTGAGGAGAGCCCGTATAATTTGTGGGCTGGTGGACTAGCACTGCATGTGAGAATCACCCGGAAAAGATACTGCTCCAGCATCCCGAGTACTCATTCCGCGAAAGTGACCGTTACTTGAATTTTGTCCCGCCAAAAACATTAATAAGGTAGCTTTGTGAGGACAGGTCCGATGTATGCACCAGAACGTTAGTCAACCGTTAGCAGCTAAGACGTCTCACTGGTTTTTAGCGTACTCAGCCATCTGTTTGTTTTGAAGCCCCTACAGTTTACAATGGATTGTTCCCATCTGTCTTTTGCTGATCTCAATATACGCAAACTCTTGGGCATTAGGTATTTTTGGCGATTTCGGACATGGCTAGTTTCTATGAATTCGCTATTCTTTGCCTGTTCACAAGCTATTTCGCGATATTGATCCGCAGAATATTTTTGGCAATCGATAATAAATCCAGAGCTTTCAAACGTGAGGAGCAAATGCATCAGCAGCTCTTATTCCGCAAGATAAACTTTTAAGGAACTAATCAAAGTTCTTCGCTTTAAAGAAAGATTCACAAATCTGAGTAATTTTAAGAGGAAGGAACAACCTACAGTTTGTTAAGGAAAAACTCTTCGGACATTCGCGATCTCGAAAATCGAAATGGTGTCCGGGTAATTCCTTCTATTACGAATGTCCAGTAGCCTACGTCACTCTGGTGAACCGCGTGGCTGTTCATTTCAGAATGTTGATGCGTTTGTGTCCATAGGCTTAATAAGTAACGCCGTGGCTTTGTTTGATGCCTCTACGATTGCAAAACAGCATCAGATTTATAAATTCATCAACGCACTTCCATTGACACACTATGCCTGATGTTCGTTCGGATACAAGGTCTTTGGACTTATTTCATCCTTATAAACCAACAAAACCGTTAGGTATTTTTCGGTAGTGGAAGCCATATATGCACTACCATCTTCGGATATTACTAACCTGAATTCAAAAATCTCAATAAAACTTAAAGGAAAGTAAACTAATGTACCCACTGAGTAATCAGGCAACAGTTGCTCAAACACTTCCCGATGTAAATTAAGATAAACAGGTTTGCTCATGGATTTTCTGCTATCAATCGCACGGAGTTGTCTTATGACAGGCGTTTGGCCCCAGGTATTACTCATACTAAGGCAGATCCTCAAACGAATGACGGCTAAAATCCATGTATCTCAATATCCTCTTATGAAATACGCACGATATGTAGGGAATCAACATTCGCACGGTTTCCAGAGGACTGATGACGAGGCGCCGACCAAACTATGAAAGGATGAGTTTAAGGAACATGTCTAAAGTGCACCCGTATCGGAGGAACTAAATAGATGGACATGCCTGTGATTGCCGCCAAGTGCATGAAGATGTATGATAAACGCGCGTATCTACCTTGTTCGGCGTTTTAAATGGGAATGGAATATATGCCTTGTGTGGGATCCTAACCAACCTGTCGACTCCACCAAAAACGTGATCATCGGAAGATTTGAGTATACTACTAAGATTGTCGAGGAAGAAGACCAAAATCAAGTCGTATTAGGCAGATAGGCGTGATTAACCTGTGCTTCCACGTCACAGGTCTTTTTGATTTGGATTCGTTTCCGTTTTGTTTGTCCATGCCTGTTTGCTCGGTACGGAAGCACGATATGTTGAAAAAAGTTCATTGAAGGAACATCCGTTGAGCGTCCGCATGTGCAGCATACAGGATTGCAGCAATTGGTAAAATTTTTTACATGCTGAACAACAATGGTTTTAAAACCCAAGAAATTTTTTCCGACTGCACAACGTGTTTGATTTATCTTAGTTTCTACATTTTTACTTTAGCGGGGAGACGGAGACGTCGTTTTGATCACGACAAAATGAATCTCAGTATTGTTTGGACTTGGATTTTACTTCAATGTACCCCTGCATTTTTAATTGTTCTACTGACTCCGGGTGGAAACAACCGGATATTCCAAAGTGTGATTGTGTTCAGCGGTGTTCTGCTCTACATTATTCATACTACACGACCTTGCACGAGTGTTCATTAAAACTCTGATATCTACGGGTACGTACCGTATGCCCAGTTCTTTGTAATATAGCTTTGAATTTGTAGCCGCCACGGGCTTGTTCGCAGCACTTAATAGTACATGAGTTGCTAGGAGTTGTATTGCAAACTGAACTGAACAGTTTTCGAACAGCAAACGTCCGGCCGCACCTGTAAATTGTTCGGTTTAATTTGTTCAATTCATAATGAATATACAAATGGGTCTAACTACCTTGCTAACGTCTAACCTTGCTTTTGAAGCGCAGGACTGCATTGCTGTGCTCATATTCCTCCCCTGCACACGTCTTGAGAAATACCTGGGGTTAATTTCTCTGTGGCAAAGCAACGGATGAAACTGGGGATGTCCGTCCTAAATAGGCATTCCTCCGTCATCTTTAAATAATTAAAATGCACTACATGACGCAACGTTTACGTTGGGCCTTTTTAAATGGCTTCCGTGGAACTCGGAAAGGTTATGATTCTGCGAGATAAATAAAAGAAACTTGTGAAACAAAGCTGCCACAATGCAATTATTTAAAAAAACGATGCTGACGTAATTACGTTGGGAATTTCATCAATAACATAATCCTACCTCTTAGTCTTGGAAACCACAATGTCTATCCGTTTGTGTGGAAGCTACGATACAGCAGTTACGTTAAACGTAGCTGAGGTTGTCGGAAAAGATACATCCAGACAGTTTCTCATTCGATCGGGTTTTTATGCACGATCTCTATAATGGATACCCGTAGTGTAAATTGCTCCATTGAAGCGTCCATAGACAATGGAATTTTTAATTGAGTTTGTCCAAAATTTATAACGTATTTCCAATGGATCGGACAGGGTATGCCACACACTATACCTTCGTGGGATACGGGCAACACTAATCAGATGACAGTGTGCCCTAGTTTTCTCATGTTCTGGGTCGAGAGAACTATCTTCAACTCTCTCACGCAACGTTCCGATGATACCGTACCAAAACAAGTAGTTCAGTTATTTGTAATAACCGCGTCCCACGCCACTGTACCTATCAGACTGTCATTTAACCACGTCTCAATCATTTCCATAAGGTAATGTACCAAATAGCTCCTCTGCTGCGTAGATGAGGTTGACTTCAATGGTAGTTTCACCACCATGCAAACGTGTGGCGCGTCCCACCTGCAAATTATGTCCAATCTCATGTACAAATGGAAAGCTTCCACCACTAGATACTACGTTCTCCCAGTGAGCGTAGATACCATTCCGGTCCAAACTGCCCATCACTGGGTAACCCGCGTGTCCCCATTCAGCACTAATTTGTACCTCACACGCAATCACCATCTGGCCTGCCTTCGTGTGATCTGTCCCATGCTAGTTATGTGCCATCTCGATCACCGTGTCCATGTAATTGCCACTATTCAGCACATTCGTTGCGTTGAATCTGATCACGTCTCGTGTAAATAGCGCTGTGATCAGATTATCACCGTTGACCAGCGTCCGTGGTACGCCGCGGTGTTTTTCCATCTCTGGATGATTTGGGGGTCCCGTAGATCTACACAGGGATGCTTGTAGACATTTTCAAACCGTAATGTTAGGTTAACTCCAGGTTGTAGTTGTAGGAATATCGGTCCACTATGCAGACCGCACATTTAAACTTGCACACTGAGCGGTTTTGCAGTGGTGACAGTAGGCTGGTGTGGTGTTCAATTCCAACCGTTTGGCAGTTAACACGAACATATTGGTCATGACGTGTGAGATCTCTGGTTTCAAGTATTGTCCATGTAAAACCCTGTCCCGGCTTGGCCTAGACGGTTGCGTCAAAGAATCTGGAGCGCGGATTGATACAGTTATGCTGCTTGGTCTCATTCCTGGCGCTACATCAAGGGAAGAGTAGTATAGTCCATCAATTGTGGTACGATTCTCGCCAAGCTGATGCAGCAATATCACATTGCAATTGTAGGCAACAGTGTCTATATGTGGGTTTTTCGAAAGGGACAGATATGGCAAGTGGCATTGCGTCGCATGAATGAATCGAACCGCTTTACGGTGAGTTGGATTGCCTCTTGCACCTCTAGTCTACTCCAATCTTGCCAGATCCACACATTCTCAAATCGCTTTGCACGGAATTAGCTCCAGCTGCTAACCATTCGATTTAGTTCACCTCTGAAGGGTGTTAATCACATAGTTCGAATCATAATTCGCAAGTCTATGTCTTGTTCATGCGTCCATATAGCGTTCCCCGCGTACTCAGTCTCCAACCTAGCCAGTAACTGTGTAAGGTTATCATCTCCATTTCCATGGATAAACCCGACAACTGCCGAATTTTCACCCAAAACCAACTGCGAATAGACCTTTTCCACATCGAACGTGTCGGTTCGTTTCATCAGGATTATGTCACCTTTTGTGTAGGGAGATCCAATTCGTACGAAATCGGCGAATGGACGCTGTCCGTTTGCCAGCCACTGTCTTAAACTCCGACGCCACCCATCGTATTTTGTGTTGGTGGGCAGCTGGTCAATCACCTGAATCCCAAGAATCAAAGTTGGGCTGGCATTTTATCGTTTTGTGGCCATAGCCACCGTGCGGTTTTGAACTATCCCCAACAGAACGTCTTTGTGGTGATCCCTGTGTCGCCACTCCCTCCATATGGGCTGCACAAATAACAGTTTCTGCTTCCCCGTAATCGCCATTTTGGTTTCCTGTAAATTCAGTGAGGAGAAAGTGGGTTAATTGTCGTACATATCAAATTCGCTACGCTTAATTCTTTTCGGCTGCTAGAACATTTGATAACGTTGTCTCATTGTAATAAGACTAGAAGGGATCTCTCAGAAACAGCCTAACTGAGATAAGACATGGTGGCAGTGCCTTTAGTGGGTAATTCTGCAGTCTAGTAGGGACACCTAGTTTAGACTTGGCTTGTTGATCAGGTGAAAATTGTAAATCATTTGAACCATCGCAAAATCCACGTGCCAGGGATTTTATTTGGCTTTGAAACTCCGGCAGGATTTTCTCCGATAATAAGTAACGAAAGCAACATGACTCCTTCATGACCTTTATATGGGAAGATTGTTGAGCAAGCATACCTGTGACAAAGGCCGTTCTTGGTAGTGATTTACGTGAAACCAAGTAGTGGCAAATGGGAAGTGAACCTACCATGTAATAATTTTCGGGGATTGGTCCTTCTGGTGACATTGAAGTTACAAACACCTCGCGCAGCAGAGTTCCGAATGCCTCAACCTCGGACATAAGAATAAGCGCAAAAGGAGCGGGCTGATTTGGGTTTTCGCGACCGATTATGATTAGCTGGGCTGGTTTCGTCGGATGCATAGTGATTACTTCGCCCTTACGCTTGGACATAAGTCCTTTGGCGAGTACATCCCAAGGATGGCGTTGTCTGAAGTAGCATGGGGCTACATATTCTCCGTAGGTGTGAACATAAAATGTCTCATTGACTCCCGCCTCACCTGCAAAGTACGCAATGAAAAGTGTGCGGCAATGGTTCCGAATACGAATAGCAGTGTAACAAACCAACTGAACTGCAGCATGTGGAAATGAACAGTTGTCGTCAGCGCTCTTATTTGCTGGCTTCAGCAGAATCAAGCCTTGAACATGTATGTGTGTGTGCTCTGAGTCTTGTACCGCACACGTGTAGGATGATTTAGATTTTGTTCGTGCTTCAAGCTGTCCTGACTGTGTTACTACCAATGAAATGTATGCATACTTCACAGATGCACTGGTGCTACGGAGATGGGTATGTAACTGATACGCTGAGGGTTGATCTAACCTGCTCGTCGAAAATGGCCTTAGACTCATCCTTCCATGGTTTGTTCGGCGACTCGTCATCAGACCTCTAGAAACCGTGCGAATGATGCTTCCTTACATATCGTGCGTATTTCATAAGAGGATATTGAGATACATGGATTTTAACCGTCATTCTTTTGAGGATCTTCTTGAGTATGTGTAATACCTGGGGCCAAACGCCTGTCATAAGACAATTAGTTGCGATTAATATCAGAAAATCCATGAACAAACCTGTTTACCTTATTTTACATCGGGAAGTGGTTGAGCAACTTTTGCCTGACTACACAATTGGTATATTCGTTCACGCTCCTTTACGTTTTCCTGAGATTTTTGAATTCAGGTTAGTAATTTCCAAAGTTGGTAGTCCATACATGGCTCCCACTATCGAAAAGTACCTAACGGTTTTGTTGTTTAATGAGGATGAAATAAGTCCACAGTCCTTGTATCCGAACGAACATCTGGCATAGTGTGTCAATGGAAGTGCGTTGATGAGTTTATAAATCTGATGCTGCTTTGCAATCGTAGAGGCATCAAACAAAGCCACGGCGTTACTTATTAAGCCTATGGACACAAACGCATCAACATTCTGAAATGAACAGCCACGCGGTTCACCGGAGTGACGTAGGCTACTGAACATTCGTAATAGAAGGAATTACCCGGACACCATTTCGATTTTCGAGATCGCGAATGTCCGAAGAGTTTTTCCTTAACAAACTGTAGGTTGTTCCTTCCACTTAAATTTACTCAGATTTGTGAATCTTTCTTTAAAGCGAAGAACTTTGATTAGTTCCTTAAAAGTTTATCTTGCGGAATAAGAGCTGCTGATACATTTGCTCCTCACGTTTAAAAGCTCCGGATTTATTATCGATTACTAAAAAATTTCTGCGGACCAATATCGCGAAGGAGCTTGTGAACAGGCAAAGAATAGCGAATTCATAGAAACTAGCCATGTCTGAAATCGCCGAAAATACCTAATGCCCAAGAGTTTGCGTATACTGAGATCAACAAAAGACAGATGGGAACAATCCATTATAAACTGTAGGGGCTCCAAAACAAAAGGATGGCTGAGTACGCTAAAAACCAGTGAGACGTCCTAGTTGCTAACGGCTGACTACCGTTCTGGTGCATATATCGGACCTGTCCTCACAAAGCTACCTTATTAATAAAAAATCGTTTTTTATCCGCCTACATTCAAGATAGAATACCAGATCAACTCACATTTTAGTGAACGTTACTTTAATGCGGAAAAAGTTTTATAAAAGCATTTTGTTTTTGTAGCCATTTACTTTCCACAATATTCTGGAATAATCAGGAGCTGATACCGACTTCAATATAATAGGTAACTATCGAAACTGAAAAGCACGTGAACAGGGAAGACCTGAACAGAGAAGTAATATCACGTGCCCAACAATCAGGCTTCAGTTTAAATTGGGTATTCGCACCTGTGTGTGGTAAATCCAAGAACCATTTTCAACACCACAGCTACTTCCCACAAGATCTGCTAATTAGTTAGATATAGTAATCCATCTCAGATCGGTTTTCGTATTTCTTTGTTATCCCTGTAGATGATGTGTTGTTCTGCTCAGCGTACTCCACACCTGATTTGTGGTCGATGTATTTTCAATGGTTGGCACTCCATTGAGTGTAGGATGGATTGACACAGCAGCAGATGTTGCTCGTTAACAATCCCACGTGAACTTTGAATCCCATCTTATCCCGTTGTTTTATGACTAGGTAAATCTGTCACTACGCGGAAAGCCTGGCCCCAACTTGTTTTGGATACTTGTGAGAATACTAATACGAAAATAAGGAACTCGGGAAAGCTAAAATACAACTGAAATTAATTTGATAACCGCCAACAAGGCGTTCCCTATTCGCTTACCAAGCTACATTAGCCGGTTCACCGCCATTGCAACATAGTCCACTAGTTGATTAGTGCAGTATCCGGCTCTAACGCACCACTAATATTCTGGTCCACCACGCCACAGTCAGGAGCTAGTTTTGTCCGGATCGTACGGGGTCATTACTAAGCCATTTTACAAGAAGACTTATAATCATGCTACCTAACTGCGTCTGTGATCAGCCAATCGGACATTTCATATCTCACCCATATTGACAAATCGAAGTCAACTAATGCTCTGAGAATGCCGTGGAACCGAAAGGGTTTTTGTTCTAACCATAAATATGGAAACCGGTGGATTGAAATCGGTTACATCCACTTTTGTCTCAATTGTCCATGTAAAACCCTGTCCCGGCTTGGCCTAGACGGTTGCGTCAAAGAATCTGGAGCGCGGATTGATACAGTTATGCTGCTTGGTCTCATTCCTGGCGCTACATCAAGGGAAGAGTAGTATAGTCCATCAATTGTGGTACGATTCTCGCCAAGCTGATGCAGCAATATCACATTGCAATTGTAGGCAACAGTGTCTGTATGTGGGTTTTTCGAAAGGGACAGATATGGCAAGTGGCATTGCGTCGCATGAATGAATCGAACCGCTTTACGGTGAGTTGGATTGCCTCTTGCACCTCTAGTCTACTCCAATCTTGCCAGATCCACACATTCTCAAATCGCTTTGCACGGAATTAGGTCCAGCTGCTAACCATTCGATTTAGTTCACCTCTGAAGGGTGTTAATCACATAGTTCGAATCATAATTCGCAAGTCTATGTCTTGTTCATGCGTCCATATAGCGTTCCCCGCGTACTCAGTCTCCAACCTAGCCAGTAACTGTGTAAGGTTATCATCTCCATTTCCATGGATAAACCCGACAACTGCCGAATTTTCACCCAAAACCAACTGCGAATAGACCTTTTCCACATCGAACGTGTCGGTTCGTTTCATCAGGATTATGTCACCTTTTGTGTAGGGAGATCCAATTCGTACGAAATCGGCGAATGGACGCTGTCCGTTTGCCAGCCACTGTCTTAAACTCCGACGCCACCCATCGTATTTTGTGTTGGTGGGCAGCTGGTCAATCACCTGAATCCCAAGAATCAAAGTTGGGCTGGCATTTTATCGTTTTGTGGCCATAGCCACCGTGCGGTTTTGAACTATCCCCAACAGAACGTCTTTGTGGTGATCCCTGTGTCGCCACTCCCTCCATATGGGCTGCACAAATAACAGTTTCTGCTTCCCCGTAATCGCCATTTTGGTTTCCTGTAAATTCAGTGAGGAGAAAGTGGGTTAATTGTCGTACATATCAAATTCGCTACGTCTTAATTCTTTTCGGCTGCTAGAACATTCGATAACGTTGTCTCCTTGTAACCCGACTGATGAGGGAGCTTTCACAGACAGCCTTGATAAGATAAGACATGGGGGCAGTGTATTTAGTGGGTAATTCTGCAGTCTAGTAGAGCCTTGACTTGGTGATTAGTTGAAAATTGTATTTGAACCAGATGAGGGAGCTTTCACAGACAGCCTTACTGAGATAAGACATGGGGGCAGTGTATTTAGTGGGTAATTCTGCAGTCTAGTAGAGCCTTGACTTGGTGATTAGTTGAAAATTGTAAATCATTTGAACCATCGCAAGATCCACGTGCCTGGGATTTTATTAGGCTTTGAAACTCCGGCAGAATTTCGTCCGATAACAACAGCTGTCAGCTAACGAAAGCAACGTGACTCCTTCATGACCTTTATATGGGAAGATTGTTGATCAAGCATGCCTTTGACAAGGGCCGTTCTTGGTAGCGATTTACGTGAGACCGGATGGTGGGAAATGAGCAGTGAATCTACCACGTAATAATTTTCGGGGATTGATTCTTCTGGTGGCAGTGAAGTTACAAAAGCCTCGCGCAGCAGGGTCCCGTGTGCCCCAACCTCGGATATAAGAATGGGCGAAACAGGAGCGGGCAGGTTAGGGATTTCGCGATCGATTATCATAAGCTGGACTGGCTTCGTCGGATACAGAGTGATTGCTTCGCCCTCACGCTTAAACATAAGTCCTTTGGCGAGTACATCCAAAGGATAGCGTTGTCTGAAGTCGCATGGGGCCACCTGTTCGCCGTAGGTGTAAACATCAAATGTCTCATTGATTCCCTCGTCACCCGCAAAGTACTCAATGAAGCGTGTGCGGCAATTGTTCCGAATACGAATGGCAGTGTGACAAACCAACTGAACTGCAGCATGTGGAAATGAACAGTTGTCGTCAGCGCCCTTATTTGCTGGCTTCAGCAGAATCAAGCCTTGAACATGTATGTGTGTGTGATCTGAGTCCTGTACCGCACCCGTGTAGGATGATTTAGATTCTGTTCGTGCTTCAAGCTGTCCTGACTGTGTTACTACCAATGAAATGTATGCATACTTCACAGATGCACTGGTGCTACGGAGATGGGTATCTAACTGATACGCTGAGGGTTGATCTAACCTGCTCGTCGAAAGTGGCAATCCGAAAATTTACCGTGCTTCACACATAGATGTGGTCGGCTGGCACCTAGCAGATCATGGTTCTCTGGAGTTCTGCAAGTCTGGTGATACCGTGCTGCCCAATAAAACATTTTGTCTATTAATTTTCCGCAAAGTAATTTTCAAACCATGCGCCGCAATATCGAAGGCTACGGCCAGGGTTGGAAGAAATTGCTCCGGTCTCACAAGAAGTGACCAGTCCCACCGTTGCCACTATAGAAAGAGACTCCACCGTTTCTAAACGATGCGATTGTTGGACTCGTAGCACACCGGATTCAATCCGTGTGTAAACATTGTGACATCCTGATCTGTGGTCAACCACACACATACAGACCTGCAGCCAAGATTGAGTCGATGACTAGTTCAAGACACAATCCAGTGGAATTCAACCCCGCCTAGCTGGTATACAATCACATGGCCACCACCAGGCTTTGATGGAGCTCCATCGAGCTTGTTCATATGATGATTCATCCCAGCGGTCTGGTCCTCTTCGTTAATGCTGGATCGTACACACCGTGAACAGATGCTTTGGCCTCACTTATTTCATCTCTCCATCATCAACATGTTCGAACTAAAGATTTTTGATGTGATTAGACCAACAAAGGTGGGTCACACTTTTCGTTTTTCTGTTTTCTTGATGTTTTCGCTTTTGATTTTTGGGAAAATGGTTACCGAAAGAATTATGCGCGGCGTGTTTGGTAGGTGTGTGTGTGTTTGCGTTTTGTCGTCTCCTTCCTGTTTAAATCTATTCAGCGTATGATCTGAGACACCTCACCTAAAGTGATATCAGTGCCCCAAATCCACACGCAATTGGATTGTGTTATGCGCAATTTCCTCATAAGTATGCCTTTCCTAGCCGTGTTCCAAACCGCAAATCATCGACCGCCAGGCGTTAGGAAATCATTAACCGCCAGAAGCAAGTTGCCACAAGTTTTCCAATAGCCAGAGATTGTAAGTCATGGTTAGGATAGGGACCAATTGGCTGAGCTACAAATTGGTTGGCAGGGTCGATTTTCGCGACCGGCAAACTGTACGCAGCAGTCTTCTTGGATTCTTGAAGGTCTTCCTCTACAACGTACTGTGTTATATCTGGATGAGTAGCGGGGCGGGCGATGGGCATGAATACTAGTATTTACGTTCTCAGATCCTTACTCTAGCTCATACTCCTCTAAGACGTCCAAATTATATACGTATGGTGAGGGTGTAACATGAGCGGGTATCTGAATGCAGCCAGAAGCTGGTTTCAGTGTTACGGTCAGCGTATTTTCTCTTTTCCAAACACCGCCCCCGCATCTTATGTAGGTTGAAGATTACCAGGGAAAGTATGGAACGGCATGGCAGTGTTCATTCACTGTTGTTCATTGGTCAGTGAATGTCCCAGCAAGTTCAGCGGGACGCGTGGGAGTGTGCAGATTTGAGAATGTCGGTGCATCGGAGACGTTTACTTTCGTGTCTGATGGTTTGTGTGGGCCCATTTCGTCTGCGATAGTGAATAAGATCGAAGAGAATGGCTTTCATCCATTCACCAAAAGCAAATGCAGCCGTAGTTTCAATAAAATTAACAAGCGTCACATAAACCATGCTCGAGACCAAATCAATGCCTGCCACTCCTAGGGCTTATAGTCTTGGAGCACTCCTTCCTACACAAGTTGAACAAGGAAAACAAACGAGCCATTCAGGAAATCGCGGTTACTTTGCCCCTACTAAGGTAGTTTAAGTAATGTAAAACTGTAATCATACGGCGAAAATATAATCAACTATTCACATATATAAAGAGGCTTCCAAACTTCTAGCCCTTGTGTTGGCAGTCACGAGACCATGTTTAAATGTCAGATACCTCACTAGCCTACACCATTATTGCACGCCTAATAAAGCGTTTGAAGGGAATCTCGAGTGGAATATTGGAAGTCGTTCGAATGGACAACAACATTCGAATAACTCGAAGACAGGGTATGCTCAGAGGAAATACACTTGCCAAAACTCCAGATATCTTGAATACACAGCTTAGTTGATATCAGGTTGTAGACGCCCCCAAGGCCCATGTAGTAATGGAAGAATTTAGTGGGATCCGGTGCAAATAGCCTTAACGGATCTCCAGTCGTGAGTTGTTCCATCCATCGTCCCTCGGCTGCAGGTCTCTTCTTGAACGCAACATTTCCAGTGGGATCTTCGAAATGATTCGTAGTATACATTGTCGAAAGTAACCAGCACATTGAAACCAAACGGGGTGGTTGGCCCTGTCTTGAGTTGCTGAACTCTTAGCTCACCCAGACTGACGTCCAGGCTACCCGGTCGGCACCACGAGGAGGTTGTTCAGCTTGCCGACTAAAGTGCACTTACTTTCCGCCATTATCTGGAACCAGTGAATTTAGGATAATAGACAGCGTTGCGGGTATTGTCACAAAACCAATGAGAATAATGGACTTATTTATGCTTTCTCAGAGACAGTTAAATCAGTCACATGTTGCAAGTACATTCTAAGCTCGGCTTGATCTGCCTAGGGTAAGTTCAAGGAGAGTTTCGCCCACGTCCTTCAATAGCCTGCAGGATAATCCTACTTGTGTCCAACGAATTTTCCAATGAAATCCTCACTCACCTGAAGTTATTCGCTAAACCTGATTTCCAATAGAAGTCTATGATCACATTGCTACGCCGATCTCTGAGGACATTGATTCAATAGTTCTAACTGACTGGCTTTGTCCATGTAAAAATCTGGGACACACCCGTAACGCCCCGCTAAAATGCACCGGTAAAAACGATGCACGTGAGTTCCAAGTGACTTGAGTTTCAATTTTCAGTGGAAATTGCACGATATCTATGCGACCTGGTACGCCTCCGTTTCGGGTGGATTCGTTGGTATTGATCGAACTGATTGAATAATCTTGACTGACTGATTTGCACGTGGTCTTTTGAAATCCAGGATACCTGCAGCTTATCGATCAATGTCGCTATAATCACCACAATTTATCATTTGCTGTAAACAGTATGACAATATATATTCGATTCCAACGAAAGAAATGTGTGTGCGTGTTCAGCCCTCCTTCTCATTTTATTATCATTTATTTTTGAAGAGCATGGTCACAAACATAAAAAGCAAATGCAAGCGATGAATGCGAAAGAGTAACAGGAGAATATGGGAGAAAAGAGAGATACATCTCATTCGAAATCATGCCAAGGACAGTGCCAGTCTGATGAGGTGAATCCCAAAGTATGTAAAGATTGTGATATGGGAACACGCATAAAAGTGTCATCAGTACGCAGGGAGCCCACAATGGTAAGCAAACACAAGTCACTGATTGCGACCTTAGGAAGTCCCAGTCCAATAACAGCCTTAGCGGATTGAGGAAAGCAGATCCCTCGATAAGAGATAATCATCAGTTGGTGAACCAAAAAGTGGATATCACAACCGATGGCAATTAGGGCTGAGATTATGGCGGGGGAATATTCATCAGCACCATACTTCTGCTTCTTCCCATTCCACACTGTCACTCCATGCCCATCCGAGACTAGGCTGACGTCTATTACAGTTGCACGGCGATCTGTAACAGCGATTAGGTCAGGTTTGATGGACGACGTAGAAGTAGGGGCTCTCAACTCCTCGAAGACGGTGTAACCCAGTCGACGGAGACGTTTTGCAAGTTCCCTTGCAATCCGATTATGACGAGCACATTTGGAATCATGCGTGATCCAGCAGGATTGCAAAATATGCACCAAACTCTCTGGTTGGCCACAGTTGCCACGACATAAGATCGTCTGGTCACCATGACCATGCCGAACGCTTCTAACTCTCGTCCTAAGCAGGTTTCATCGGAGCTGGATACCGCGGAAAAATATCCGTGGAACCACTCGTTCTGGGAATACGAGCCATCGATTCGAGAGAGGCGAAGTGACCAACTCTCGTAAACCGCGACCGTCAACCCTGTTGTGCAGACTATCACCCCACGCAGCCACCAGCTCCTCCTTGGTGTTTACGCATGCTCCATGGACTCGGATCGGAAGGCTGAGATCCCGAACAATTTTGNAACTTAGATGTGGTCATGAACTCAATTAAACAAGATTAGGATGAAAAAACAACTCGGCTGTTCTGTGTCAACGATTATGATGTTTTATTCGGCCACGGGAATGAGGAACAACTGTAGGTGCAGATCAGTGACCCAATCTATTTGGATCAAGAATGAGTCTATTCCGCACAACAATGAAGCTTCAGGTGGTGGTTATAACAAAGAAAGTATTCAGCTTTGTATTCGGGTTTCCATAAACGTGGCTTATTTTGTAGTCAACCACAAAAATATAGGTCTCTGAGCATCTACTGGACCGACTAATAATTTAACTAACCATTTTAACCCCCCAAAACACTAAAAAGGCAGAAATGGCATTTTGTGAATTCATCGATCGTGAAACACATTCATTAGGAGGAAACTGTCAAATGTACATTTAGCCTCGTTCGCAAGTCACTGAGATTGCCTCTGTCCTCCGTGACATGAGTGTGGAGAGTCCTCGTACTGACTACCATTAGTAACTGGTGCGTCACTCTGCTGGCGCCTGTCCCGCCAACCACCCAACACCCTCGACGAGACCAGCCAATTCCCTCAGACTTTCAATAGAAATGGACTGACACTGTGTTAACCAGAAACGTATCCTGTTAGCGTCCGTTTCGTCCTACGCAACGGTGATCACGTGGTTTCCTTAAATCCTAGGTGGAACCGCTGATTAGGTCATTTCTCTAGAGATTATGAAGAAGGGAGTAAACAGAAAATCCGTTCAGATGTTCTATCCGCCGGTTCCCATAATCAGGACAGGTATCATGAAAGATAGACTGAGGATTTGGCCGGACTTTAGTGTTCGAACATTACTAGGTTTTGGAGTATGTCAGTCCGTCGATCAAATAGGATACGCGTGAGTACGTTCAGGAAACTAATTTTTCGGATCCAGGACAACCATAACAGGAAGAAAAATACCTTGGAGGTGATTAGGCCTACAATTTTGTAAAAAAACTCAGAATCTCCTACTGTTACCCAAACTTATGGAGGAAAATTGCTGTCATACTGAAATGTGAGGCGATGGGAGAAGCCTTCGCTCTAGGACATGCTGTTGGATGCGGTATTTTTTCAGGAAGTAGTCAGCCGCATTGCGGTGATCTACTCAAATGTCTGGCAGATCAAATTCGTAACAAATTCATTCATGAGGTCATCTTTTTGGTAAGTATATTTACAGATGCATTCTACTAAATGTAAAAACCAAACCCGCAATGGTGAGCAACGGGCTAGCTTAACGAACAGACAAACATCGCGTTACTTTCCCGGACAGACTTCACAAATTCACATATGTCCTGAATGCTGGCTGAAGTAAGCTGATGACGTAAAGCAGAAATTTGAAAAACCCTAAGTTTACACAATCAACCCCGCCGATTTTCAACAAAAACTCTTCCTGCACTTGGGACACCAGAATTTTTCAAGTAATCACGCACACAAAGACCGGAAAGGAGTGAAGACTAGCATAATCCACTCACACACACTTGACCATCTCGTGATATCCTTCCTGGACAAACCAGTCATCCAACCTGTTTATGACAGCTGAAGCGAACAGGTAGTCGAGGCGAACTCCCGAACAATGAGTCTTTGAGGCGGTTTAACGGCTGAGAAGGACGAATGGTTGAGAACGTCTATCCTCACGCAGGCATTGAGGGATTGTCCGCAGAGTGGGGCTAGTTGGACCACGGGAACCCAATCATGCATGTACACACAGGGCCGTAAAAGGTTACAGGGATGCAACCCAAATCCATTTTGTTGCGCTAAGTAGTTGCTGTGTTGTGCAGGCCCACAAGCTAACTGACGAATTCCCCATCATCTTGTCACTTGAATGACTTGAAGATTGTGTTTGCGACGTAACTGGATTTTCACCCTTTCTTAGAAACGCACAAAATGTCTCCAACAACGTATCACAAAACTTACTACTAACTCCAGCGTTTAATTTTGGTCGGTGTAATGTTCGATACGGCAGAATTTAAAACGAGTAACAGGCACTTCCCTGCTCGTGAACAGATATCTTGTGCTTTTCCTCTGATGTGAGGTTTGGAGAACCGATTTCCAGTGTAGTCGTTCGCTAACAAAGGAATTCCTGGAGCCAAGTGTGCTGATAAACCTAAACCTGTCTGTTTCATCTCATCGTTCCGAAAGCCCGTAAACGATGTGATAAAAAGCCCCCACAGCCTAAAAATTTACTACGAAAGCCTTAGCAAGAGAGATGAAACCTATTCATATAGCAATAGTAAACTCAAGGAAGTGCGAGGAATCTCGTGATGATCCGAACGCTTTCGGCTGACGACCCCGTCAGTTGTTTCTACAAATGTTCTGGCGCAACTACTGATGCAAATCTCTGTCCCATAGCATGCCCCATCAGCCCACTGATGATGTCAACTTGGTTGGAGATGAAACGCTTGCTCAGCACAGCGAACAAACGAGCAACCATCCACGCAACGTGGGTTACCGGAATCCATTTAGTTGCGATTAGCAGCTAAAATTGGTAGCTGAAATTGGATCCGCGTCACTTTCAGTGGTTCAACAACCTGAAACAAACAAACTGGCTATCTCAATTTTATAGCATTATGCATGGTTTGGTTCACCCAGTTAGAAAACTGATCGTTTTGCAGTAATTGCAGACAATTTTTATCTTGATCGAGCATATGGTCTACCGCGACGTCTCCCCTGATTAGGATGAACCAAGTAAGAACTTCGTGAACGAGGAATTCAGCTGGATTCCAGGTGAATCTTCTGTCAAGACTAAACTGGTAAGCAGATGAGTTCATACGCCAATTCGCAATCAGGTTTTCAATTTTCACACTCAGCACAGGATATCACGTGTGTGGATAGTAAAGTGCGCTTGTGATTTAGATGATTCGCTTCTCATAACGGAGATGATAACTTCCGGGCCCTTGTCTTGGAATCTTCTGTGCAGTCGGTGCAGGGTAGAACTGGTTGGTGTTGAAGTGACACCCAAAGGCCAACTTTACCGTGAACAGGGCCATGTGGTATGTACTAACCACCTCCAAACCGAGAGGCATTCAGCCTAGGGCATCATTTATGTGCAAGCTATTTGTGACTGTTTAGTATTCTTCACATTTTACGTAACGTCGATACCCAAGTCGTTGATTCATTTTCCTTATAATTATCTGAGACCAGTACAGTTTCCACGACAGGGAAATACACATATCTGC